CAAAAGAACTCCCTCTTCTCCGTCCACACACACCTTTTTGCGAAAGAGCTCTTTCGCAAAAAGGCTTCTTCCCTGTAGAATGAGAATTACCAGTGCTGGAAAAACCCCCTCTGTTCTTTTGATTTTCTTGTGGAAGAACGCAATTGCCATTTTTCCAACAAAACTCTATAGTGTAGACATACCCTTTGAAAGGAGACTTTTGTCCTACAGTGCCATAATTTTACTGCAAGGGGGGGAGGAGGGGCGGAGATAGAAACAGGCTGTAAGGGAAGCAACATTTGTTTAAACTGAACAAATTCAGCCCTGATAAAAGTGGCACAACTTCAAATCTAAGCCCTTGTCTACACCACAGAATTATTTCAAAATAACTCACCTTATTTTGAAATAACAAGTAGATCATCCAGACTACCAAGCCCGTTATTTTGAAATAATGGGCTGATTATTTCAAAATAATAACTCTTGCTTTCCATGAGGAATAATGCTAATTTCAAAATAGCTATTTTGCAATAGCGGTAGCATGGACGCTCCAGTGCAGCTAGTTTGAAATAACTACTCCCCAGAGTAATTCTGACTAATTACTCCCCATTGCTTCCTGGAGCTGTAAGTCGAGGTAGCACATCCACATTAAGATCATGTCTACACTAAGAAATTATTTCAAAATACCTTATTTTGAAATAATAACTCCTGAAATAACAATTTAGAAATAGCATGTCCACGCTACAGGGAGGCCTCAAAATTAGTCCGAGGCAGGCTCCCTCTATGTGTATGCACTAACTCAACCTAGAACCCCAGGAAACATGGGGGAGTAATTATTTTGAATGACTCTGGGAGTAGTTATTTTGAAATAGCAGCAGTGGCGCATCCATACTACTGCTATTTTGAGATAAGCATTATTTTTCCTGGAAAGCAGAAAAGCAGGAGTTATTTAGAAATAACCAGCCCCTTATTCTGAAATAATGGGCTTGGTAGTATGGATGCTCCCCTTATTATTTCAAAATAATAGAATAGTGTAGACTAGAGCTAATAATAGTGTAGACTAGAGCTAATGGAGCCTGCCTCGGACTAATTTCGAAGCTTCACTTTAGTGTGGACACACTATTTTGAAATTATTGTTTTGGGAATTATTATTTTGAAATAAGTTATTTCCTAGTGTAGATATTGCCTAATTCTTTTAACAGTTCTGGGATACAGTTTCAGAAGAGTGGCCTCCCTTTTACAGAGCCATTTGTTCCCATAATCTTTGCACCTGCAATTCATTTTATGAATGCAAAAGGCACTGAAACAGAATCCAGCCCTCTGGTAAAAATAAGAGGAAGAAAAATTATGAGGAAAAAAAAAGCTGGAAGCTGTGTCTACATTGGTGCAATCTCGTGCAAAAGTGGCCACTCTTGCACAAAAACTTGCTGCCTGTCTACACTGGCCGTGTGTTCTTGCGCAAATAAACTGACGTTCTAATGTATAAAATCAGGGCTTCTTGCGTGAGAACTCTGACACTCCCGCTCAGGAATAAGTCCTCTTGCGCAAGAGCTCTTCCAGGAGAGGCCAGTGCAGACAGGCAACATGAATTTCTTGCGCAAGAAAGCCCTATGGTTAAAATGGCCATCAGAGCTTTCTTGAGCAAGAGAGCGTCTACACTGGCATGGATGCTCTTGCACAAAAGCACATCTCTTGTGCAAAAGCACATGCCAGTGCAGATGCTCTCTTCTGGAAGAGTTTTTGCAGAAGAACTCTTCCACAAAAGAGATTTTGCATGAAAACGCGCCAGTGTAGACGTGGTAGTCTACAGCTGTGTAAAGATTGGAATATTTAGTTTTGTACAGGATTTTGAGTTTTCAAAGTTTGTTTTTGTTCTGATTAGGAAAGAGACCTGAACATTTCAGAATTTTTTGTTACAGAAAGTTTCAGAGAAAAGCATAGGGACTGTTTTGTTTCAATTTTGGCTTTTTAGTTGATATTTAATTGTAATATATATGTAATATATATGTAATATAGAATACTAAATATAACATTGAAAAAGCCACACCATTTTAAGGGGAAAACGTTAACATTTTGTTCTGAAAAATGTCAAAATGGGATCTTTTAACATTTTAGAAACTTTTTTCCTTTTTAAAATACAGATTCATGAAGTATTTTGATTTCAGTGGACCCTGTTTTTCTAGTGAAAAATGGTTCCAATGAAGTTTTTCTGACACATTCTACAGGAGAAATAAATCCACTTTCTGAACAGGAAATTGTAGAGCAGTGCATAACAAAACTAGATCAGGACACCAACCCAAAATCCAGATTTAAATCCAAATGATGCCACTATGCTAAAAAGTGGCACTCACAGTGAACTTTGATACTCTTTGTGAAAATGTCTCTTGAAGATGCTCTATATGAATTGATGGAAAGAACATGTACTTAGACATTCATTTAGACTAACGCATATTTACTTGTGATTACATCTAATTAAATTCATTAGTAATTTAAACTTGCACATAACTATATACCTAATGTGGACATAATTATGTTATGTAGCCAATGTACAGTAGCCAGACACTGACACTGTTGGCCAATATAACTTCTTATAGTTGAGAGCCAGCAACCAAAAATATATGCAACATATTGGCCTCAGCATTAAAATGAATATGATGTTAATGTTCATATTTACTTAATTAGATTAAAATGACAGTTTACAACAGATGAAATTAATAATCTGTCACTCAATTAAAATCCGAGCCACTAGTTATGAAACCTCCTTCATTATTTTCTATTCTTTAGTGATTGAGTTCAGATGGATTATTATTTCCATACAGTGCAAAACATGACACAGTTTATAGAATTAGATGCACACTGATGCTGTGTGTGTATACCAAGGTAGACTATTATACATCACAGTGAATTAAGAAGGGACTTAGCTTCCATAGAGCACACACACATACTGTACAACCCAATAGTAAAGTACATTGGAAACTATTAATTGATGTACCAAGTTAATAATTCACGCAGAACCCTACCCTGCATAACTCTCATTCTTCCTTTTAAAAAAATATGTAAATAATGTTTCCACCTCCCTTAGACATAGGGACCCAGAAAAAAAATTGCTTAGAACTTAATACTGGCTCTCTTGCTCCTCTCTTGTCCCTCCCCCCACCCTCAGCTGTGATAGCTGGGCCTACAAATTTACCCATATTGTGAGTTAAATTGTAAAAAGTCAGTCCAAGTTCATAAGATGTCACAATAACAGCAAACACTGAAGGAAAAAGGTGTTAAAGGGAGAGAGAAAGGCTGAACTAGTCCATACCACAAAGCCTACTGATACAACTCAAGGACGTGTTAAGATCATACTTGTAAGCAAGAAAAGTGTGGAACCAGAAATTAGTGAACCAAAATTGGTGTGCAAGAATTAGGCCTAATTGGTGGACAAAATAATGAGGAATTGTGCCTTTCCACCTTCCATTCCTTTTGGAGACATTGGGGAGAAAGATTGCTCCTAGAGCAAGCTTCATTATTATGTCTGAAATCCCTACCATCTCTTGGGTGAACCTTCATTATCTTGGACTTCCCTGGACCTTCATCATCCTGACCTTGAGAGATTTCCTGACCAGACCAGTCCAGAAAGAGAGAGAGAGAGAGAGACTCAGATTATATCACCACCTCTACTTGGCTCCAGCTGAATCCCAAGTAGCATCATTCTTGATGCAATAGGATCAAACTTTAACAATAGCACCAGGATCAACAGTTCCAGCCCATCTCAACTATCTTCAGCTCTTTTTTTCCAAAAGGACAGTTATTGCCATCTTTGGTACCATCTATAAGAGACTATCAAACAAAGAAAAAACTTAAAAGACAACAAATAGTCTGGTAGTACTTTAAAGACTAACAAATCATGTAGGTGGTATCATGAGCTTTCATGGGTACAACCCACTTATTCAGATTACTGGTCATCTGAAGAAGTGGGTTGTACTTTCAAAAGCTCATGATACCATCTACATGTTTTGTTAGTCTTTAAAGTGCTACCAGACTATTTGTTATTTTTTAAGTTTTTCCTGTTACAGACTAATTCAGCTACCTCTCTGAAGCTATCAAAGATTTTTCTTCTTTTCTAAAAATTTTCTGCAGCTAAAGGGAAAGGGAAAACGGGATGTTTTAAAGTGAAAACCTTACTTAATATTTTACATTTTGCATCCTTTTACCATTTTCCTTTCCTTCCTGTAGCTTTAATAAAAGGTTAAAAGGATATTTAAAAATATATTTACCACGGTACTTAGCAGTTGGAGGTTTCTGTATATCAAACCCCAAACCTTGTTTAACACTGTTTAATGTTGGACAGTGACTAGATTATGTTAACCCATTTAGACCATCTATTCAATCTAAATTAATAGAACACTCCCCACACTCTTGCATCAGTCATAATAACACATCACTCTGCAGGGCATCATATGGCATCATCATCCAAAAGGTGCAGGAAAACTCCACTCCTTGGCACAGCTAGCAGGAAGTGGTCTGTACATCCTGCTGCACTTTAGGAGTACCATAGCAATCACTTCCACGATGTAACATGGCAGATTAGGAGTTACAAGAAATGGGTCCAATACAGCACATTTTTAGTCATCAGATTTTAGTTAAATAAAAGGTAGAGAGTAGCCAGGATATGTCTAGACTACACGGCTCTGTCGACGGAGCCACGTAGATTAGGTTTCTAGACATAGGGAAATGAAGAGGCGCTTCATTTACATCAAAATGGCTGTCGCGCTGTGCCAATCAGCTGTTTGGTGGCACAGCACAGTAGACTGGACGCTCCACGGTCGACAAGGGAAGCCCTTGTCGACCACCCCGTTATGCCTTGTGGAATGAGGTTTCCCGGGGCAGTCAAAAGGGGCTTCCCTTGTCGACCACGGAGCGTCCATACTACCGTGCTGTGCCGCCAAACAGCTAATCAGCACAATGCAGCAGCCATTTTGTTGTAAATGAAGCGGCGATTATTTAAATTGCTGCTTCATTTCCCTATGTTTAGAAACCTCATCTACATGGCTCCGTCGACAGAGCCATGTAGTCTAGACATACCTTAAATGTTTAGTTTGTAAGCTTTTTAGGGCAGTGACTGTCTTTTTGTCCTGTGTTAAAACAGTGGCTAGCACAATGAAGAGCTAAGTTCAAATACGGGATTCCACATGCTACTGCAATGCAAATAATAAATAAAATAGCAAAAATTAATCATATGGAGCCATAATACATTGGTACCGTACCACTATGAGGACACTCAATAATAACAACACCTGATCTAGCCTATTAATTCTTAAGAATACTGAGCAGGACAGACAATAAGGAAAGCAGATGCAGGCTTATACAACTGGGCAAGACAATTTTGCAATAATGTGTTTTGTAAACAGGAGAATCTGAAGTAATCCATTAACAGTATGATGGCATATTCTAACTCTGTGATTTGGGGTATAGCTAACCTCCTCCTAAACACTTTCAGTTTTAAGTTTCTATTTACAAAACAAAACCAGCAATTTTTGGTGATGTCCTCTCTACCAGTAAAAGAGGAATTCTCAAAATGGTTTTCATACTCTTGCTGTTTCAGTATCTCCATTCAGTGAATGGGGCTGGTGTCCTTTGCTGGTGGTATTACCACTTTAATAAGACTGTATAGCACAGGCTGAGTTTGATGATGCAAAGTCAGAGGGGTAGAATTCATTTTTCCATCACAAAGCATTGGGATTCAGAGTTTTTTAAAGTTGTTACAAGGTGGGTTTGATGGGCTCCATGCTCCCCTCAAATGGGAATCCTGAGGGAGGTGGAAACCTAGAAAGGGAACTAATGCTGCTAGGCATTAAGGGTGAAATCCTGGCCCTTCTTTAGTCAGTGGAAATACTCTGATTAGCCTGATTAGGGCTAGGATTTCACTTTAAGTCTCAGGCAGATTTTCACTCCGAAAAGAACAGAGGCAGAAATTCCTGTTGAAATTGAAGGCAAAACTCCCATTGAGTTCATTAGGGTCAGCATTTCACCATGGATGCTTTAGGGGAATATGCTAAATAAAGCAGTGACCCCCCACTATCATCCTTCACCAATGCTAGCTTGACCATCTCAGCAAACAGTACCATGGCTATGAAAACGTTTCAGTGGCTTCCATGGAGGGGGAGACCATTCCTCATTGATTAAAATAGTCTAGATTACCGTGGAGTCTTCCTTTCTTAAGTTCTATTTCTACTTTGTAGATAAAGAATCTTGAAAAAACGAAGATAGCAGCATGTGTGATATTTTACATCATTATCGCAGACACCTCTAGGACTTAGTTATTCTTCACTTAAAGCCATACAAAATAATATAAAAATTGTTAGAATATTTTAAGCATAATTGTTTTAATTTAAAACTATTAGAATCAATTGGCCTGAGACATGATGGCCAACATTTCCAAATGTAGGACTCCAAATTAGGCCCTTATATAAATTGCCTGATTTACAAATGGGCTTAGAACCCTGCATTACCCATTGATTTCAATGAATACTTAGTTACCTAAATATGGGTTTAGGGTGGTTATTTTTTGGCACCTAAGTTTGAAAATTTTAGCCAGGTAATTTTATTCTGTAATTATTGTTGGCACAGAGCTTTATCCCCACTGCTCCCAAATAAACCTATTAAAGATGTTTGTTGAATTAAGTTTCATTGTTATACTTTTTTTGTAGACAGAATGATATACACTGGTTTAAAAATAATGTCATGGTTACCCTGGTTTCTGCACATTTTTTAAGAGGACATGGAGAGGGACCCAATATGGATGCTATTTTTGGAACACAACACAGTGTGTCACTCCAAACACATAGGATAATCGTGCTTGAGGTACAGTAGCACTAAAAGGAAAAATAAACAATGTATGCAAAAATTGAATGGCTAGTTGCAGCCTTGATCCTGTAATGAGGCCTGCATGGGTGGATTCCAGAGCTGTCACAGAGCTCATTGCAGAACCAGAGCTTTGGCAGGTAGTGCAGTGCAATGGGGTAGGAAGTGGAAATCCCATTTCTTGTAGTGGCCTTAGATATGTAGGTTAGGTTTGTGGCAACTGGGAGTGTAGCAAAAACTTTATTAAAGGGGAGTTTGGAATAGCAGAGCCTAGGACAAAAAGACTATTGTAAACTGTGCTCTTCCTCAAAAGGATTTATTTTCCTAAAATCACAACCCTTTTGAGGATGTGTGGGTATGGTTACAAAGGGCTCTTCCTCGGATGCCCGAGGTCTGCTCATCACAGAATAGGAATGTTTAAAAATTGTATTATTAATCTTGATACATTACTTTTAAAATCAAAGGGCCAAATTCAGTTGCATTGATGTTAATGACAACATTCCTATTGATTTAAGTGGGTCTGACTCTAGGATTTGTCTCAGATTGAATTATAACACTGAAGTAACCTAAGATCAATGTATATATCTAGGTATGACAAGGCTCATCACTTCAATATTATTCCTAGGAAAATGCCAAATACAAGTCCACAGATCATCTGAAAGCTGTGAAAAATCAGAATCTATTCTAAAGAACTTCAACTAAATAGTCATGTTGATTAGATTTCTCTATTAGCCATCACAACATGTGTATGTTTCACTATTAATAGTAATAGCTGTAAGATAAGCAATATATTGAAACTGATAGTTCTAATTCTAATTAACAAGGAACATTAAAATGTGGTGGTTAGAGGCATTTAGTGTAATGTTAAAATACATATGAAAATATTTTAAAACTTATTTAGTAGCATATCTACAAATGCAAAATGTCTATTTTAAAGAGTTTAAACTTTTCTAGACCATAAGTAGTGTCAGTACATTTTGTTAAACATTTCTGCATTGCTAAATATGCCGAAACCTTTTGATGAGCTGTAATAAGGGCAATTAAAAAGCATCTTTATATTATGGAAAATATTTTAGGGGTTTTTTTTTAATTATATTTTAAAGAATGTTTCATTCAGTTTTGGGCACTTTTTAAACAATCATTTGGCACTTCAAGTTTCAAGTTCTTAGGCACAATGTGACAAAGTCAGTTTAGTTAGTCCTTCACCGTGCATTTTGTAGAGCAGCTGGAATTCTGCAGGCAGCTGGTGGGACTCCTGCCACTTGGTAGTGAACTTTGTTCCTTTTTTATCGTAGTAATGGTAGGGGAGGTCTTCCCTGGTGTTAGGATCAAATCCAAATGGCCAAAACCCATACAAGTGGATTTCTTCACATATTGCAGAAGCAAGAGTATACATAAGAATACCTGTGCTTAGTCGCTTGGGTGACAAATGTTTATTTTTCCAATACCTGTGAAATAATAAGCAGATATTGATTCAGGTGAAAATTCTATATATGATCATTTCATAAGAAAACAGGTTGTTGGGTGGAAAATTTCAATATTCATAGGTGATCAGATGTATAAGATAAGAGTTACTATTCCGGCTAGGTCTTATTAAAACAGCACTTTACAGAAAACATTATCTTTGCACAAGTTTATCACAGACTTCTTTGTGCCTGTCTGCAATGGTGCCCATTAGGACATCTGCTTATTAGTTCCCAATCCTGCAAAGTATTTCCTGTCTTCAGAAAGATCCCTGGTCATTTGAGAACTCCAATGGCACTATCTCGGTTACCCATAGGCTTCCATTTGTCTATGTAGAGGCAACTGCAGGATCATGGTCTTTGGGTTAAATTCACCTTTGTGCAGACAGCCATTACAAGACTATGACTACTTATGCCAGGGGTGGGGAACCATTTTTGGGTCAGGGGCCACTGACCCATGTAATAATTATTGCCACACACAAGTGAGAAGCAAAAGAAAAAAAATGCCTCACTGACATGGCACCCGACTGAGAAGCAGAAAGAGACTCTTGACATTCCCCATCTTGCATGCACCAGAGCCTAGGGGGGCCCAGGCTAGTAGATCTTGTCTGTTCCAGCCCCATGATGGAGCGATGGGGGAGGGAGGGCTAGAGCACCAGCGTGGGCTTTCCAATGTTGGGGGGGAGGAGGAGAGGAAGAGGCCCTGAGCCTCAGGGGCTAGATCCAGGCAAGCCGTGGGCCACCTTAGGTTTCCCACCATGACTTATGCCAATTTTATTGCATTACATTTATAGTCTTCATCCTGAACAAGAGTGCCTACAGTGAAAACTAGTCTGAATTGCAAGCCTGCTTATGCCACCCAGTTTATCTGATCACTTTGGCTATAGGCTGGCTTATAATTACTTACAGCCAAGGTTGATGGTGCGCTAGTGAATCATTGTGTGATTTGTCCTTGTGCAGTGGGCCAGCACAAAACCCATGCAACCACTTACCTCCCACTTACTCTGAATTAAATCCCACATTGGCCTTGTGATACTCTTGTACCGGGGTGGGGAAGGGCGGGGGTGGAGGGAATTTTACATTAAGGGTCTAATTGTGCTTCTCATTAAAGTCAATGGCAAAACGTTAATTGTCTTCAATGTGAGCAGGATCAGGTCCTAATCTTTTAGACATTGTATATCAGTTGAATTGTGAATGAAAAAGAAATAAAGTATGTGGTTAGCAATATATGTTTCAATGAATGAATGAAGTACACATAGAATACAAACCTGTTGACATGCTGCATTATATTTCCTGGCCAAGCCAGCTGGACCTTTAATTGCCCTCTATGCTCAACAAAGAAATCAACCAATGTTCTTGTAACAGTTGCTGAAGTGTGGAAGAAAAAAGCTGGGATCCAAAGAATGGCCCCATCAAGCTTTTTTAAACTCAGAAAAAAATTATTGCGATCTTGAATGGTTAAAAGATTGTTGTAATACTTTTCCAGGATGCTGGGATTGAAGGTGGTAAGGTTGGTTTTCCTTCCAACATCTTTTTGGAAAGCCTCAGTTGGAGCAAAGTTGCAACGAAAAACAAAATCAGATTTATCGATTTCTTGTCCACACTGACTCCCTGTAAGGATTCCACTATTTCCAACAACAGCACAAATGTTATAATGCTTATTCAAGATAGGTGAGACATCTGGAAGCAATGATCTGAAGTTATTGCTAATAGAGAAAACATACTTATGGCTGGAATAATCATAATGCATCAGCTGTCCAATCCGAACACTATTCTTGGTCAAAGAAAAATTTTTTATTACATCAACATGCTGGAGAATTCCTTGCCTAAAATGAAATACAAAAAACAAAATAAAACATTTCATTGTGTTGCTCCCCTTTATACATAATAGAGGGCTTCTTTCTGATGTCACAGTTGGTTTTATTTAAAATGACTGGAGTAAAGTTATGTCAGCTTTCAAGTGGATATGAAGTCATGAGAGTTGTGGGTCCAGATCTTCAAAACTTCTTAACTCCACTGACTTTAATGGAGGTTGCTGATTTGCACTGCTGAGGTTCTACCCAGAATAACACCAACATTATAGGACTTCCTTAATTCTTAAGTTTGAGGCATGTGACTGTAATTGTGTACTGTTTATGTGGGACGAAATTCACTGCTGTGCAGAGCCTCGGCAAAACACTAAGTCCTATTTAAACCCTAACTTGAGGGCAACACAAGGGCCTTGTGCTGATCCTCTGGGTAGGGGTACATTTCACCCATGGTAGTGAACTGGAGTGCTTTGATGAGACTGGATTGCTCTCATCTGCCAAGATGTACTTAAAACAAAATGAAGCAGTCAAGAATATTCAATTGTATTAACAGTAATGTAGCTGAATTTTTAATACAAGTGCTTCTTGTACCTCATTAAGAAGCTTTGAGTCACAAAGTAAATGACATTCAACTGTCTCCCCTTACATAAACATAATCCCGTAATATCTCATTGGGACAAGCAAACTGGAATTTTTAAAAGGGCTATTATGAATCCTAAAAACACCCTGGAATTTCTCCTGCAGTGGATAAAACTAGAAAATGAACCATTACTGTTTTATTTGCTCATGTTTATGAAAAACAATCTCTCTTCCAGCTCACCATCCTCAAGTATCTAAGCAGTAATGGAATCCCAGTGGGTAGCCTAATTATGGTCTATTGCTAACAGATACATGCAAGGCATATCTTGATGCATTAACTAACAGCAACAGAGAGGTGCAGCTGAGATATTTATTCAGTAATAGACTGTGCTGCAAGAACACAGGCCATAGTGGTAGCACATTGTGATGTCATTCCAGGAACACCCCAGGGAAGACCATAGCTTCCTTTCTACTCTTCAGAGCCCCTGAAGGATTGTAATTTAGTGTTGGACTACATCAGTAGTAAATTATTTTCCCCAGCCCTACACTAGGGACCAAAGGAAGTGGACCCAAAGTTCATCACATCTCCTACCCATTCCAAGGAAGCAGTTAGTGGACACATTGCTCAGATCTTCTGTGTGCCCAAATTCTTACTCCTCTGCCTGGTTGTGTGGTCCAAGCCACAATCTAGCCTTTAAAAACAGTGGGCAACTTTCAGGCAAAATCTGTATTCCTTGATCATTAATGGGCTAGTTTATGACATCAGTCTCCACTCACCGAAGATAAATGGCTAAACATATATAAAAGTAAAGAAAGAAGACTGGCCCAGCATTTACCAGTGTTAACATTACAAGTTGAAGAAGAACAGCAATGATAAACTAATAATTAATTTCACGTCACATTAAATTCTTCCAAAGATTGAGTTTTGAGGAAATGAAGAGAATTGAGGAATAATTTCCATTGCCACGTTGTCTTGTTAAATTGAATTTGGTGAAGTTGAGGTGCAAATTATCATGGAAATAATTTAATTTAATTGGCTCAATAATGTTTCAATCTCTTGCCCCATGATTTAGACAACCACAAATGGCTATGGATATAAAGACAGAGATAGCCGGCAATTTTACAGAATTAGTGGTAGCTGATTGACTGAAAATTTCATTTAAACTTTTTTTATTTTAATGAATATAGTGTTTGATATTTTATAAGTTGACTCAAAGTTAAAAACATTTATCTTGAAATAAGAGCAATTTAATTGTCATTTTGATAAGCATGGTCACATCCCACTTAGTACAACGGTAACTGTCCATTGTTGTAAAACCGCCTGGGTACTTAATGAAATAATAAATTATACTAAGACAGTGATGTATTTTATTTTGTATAATTTTAAACACTTCACCTTGTTGGGAAATGTTTTGACTCACTCTTTGTCTCAAGAGTTCTGGCACATTGCACATAGCTCAGTATTTATAATTGCTTGATTATATTTTCTAAAGATACACCAACCAAAGGTAAATAGGAAGAAGGATAATGGAACTGCATGAGGTTAGACTAGAGCCCCATGCCTCACAAAGCAGTCCTTCGGCTTGATTCTCTCTCACCTTTGATGTAAGAACGCTGTTCTATTAAACGTCCATTTGGAAGGTTTTTCCTGCAGCTCGTGTGTCAAAGAATTTGTAATTGGTACAAATGACGGGTCGAGAAACTTCAGTGCAAACTGAGACCTGAAAAATAAGCAGGCACGTACACGTGTATACGTGTATACACACACACACACACACACACACACACACGGAATTAGCAAACTGTTCAGGGCTAACTTTAAAGATTTTGTTTCAGAGCGGATGACTTAATGGGCAGGAAACTGAGCAAAATCTCCATTTTCCCCGGCCGGCAGAGTCTGGACTCTCTGTTTAAATCAATCTGAGCGGAGACTTTATACATTTCTGTGCCCTGCAGAATTCATAAAATGGCCGTCAAAAATATTACAGTGCTGGAATTGAAGTCAAATAGATGGGCAGGCTCAGAGTGTAAATCAGCACCACGGACAGCGATCGACCAGCAGGCAGTCTCCAGCAGCTAGCTCCACTCTCCGGGCCTGGGTTATTACGATAAGAAGGTTCTGCCTGTTCATTTCGTCCCTGCTTTCCTGTCTCTTCCCCTCCCAGCCTCAGAAGCTCCAGCAGTTCAACAACTCTCCTTTCCCTCGCTCCCTGGGGGATGTGGCGTGCAGCCTGCCTGCCCTTGTGCCGAAAGCTCTGTGGGGAAGGGGCTGAAATTTCTCTTCATCATGTGTCCCCAGAAGGTGCCAGGGGCTTTACACAGGGACTACATCAGCCTGTACAGAGCGGCTTCGAAAGGAGTTCCAGCTCTGCCGATATGGTCCAGGCCAGTTGGCCTCTCGTCGAGCTCACCCCTGGGATTTCCTAGGGATGCTGCAGTGTGGTCCCCTCGCCCCCCCCCCCCCCCCACCACACACCGCAGGATCCAAGCCGCCCTGGAAGGTGGGGATCTGAGCCTCCCTGCTCTGTCTCCAGCAGGAAGAACAGCCCGCTGGGGAGGAAGGAGAACAGGGGACCACTCTAGGTGCTGGGAGGGCTGAGGTCTACTTCAGAGAGCTCCCTGTGCCCTGAGCCTGAAGCCGTGTGTCAGGGAGTGGCTTTGCGCTGGACCCGGGGCTGGAATCTCCCTGATGGTGAGAAAATGAAAAGGGGTGGGGGGTTGCAA